TAAGTTTCTAAAACAGGCAGATGCTGTCCATTTGAAACATATATTCTCTTGTTACTTCATATGCAGTAGGAATGGTTCATGTATGTATTTTTATTGTGATTTGAAATAATCTATGGTTTAAGTACAAAGTGTCGTAGAGCAATACTCTGTGTTCATTATGTGTAATGAATCTGGGCTCACACATCAGTAAGTTATTTATCTAGAGTCAAGTTTTAGTAATCTTTTTTCATGTAGAAACATTTAAATTATCTATTGTTATAAACTAAATGATATACACTGTAAAAGCATTTTGTGTTCTTCATCAACATGATTTTTCAACATCATTCATTTATATTTACCACTTTTAAGTAATGACAAGACTTGAGTGAATGTTAAAATGTTAATTACATGCATATTCGTCTCACACAACAACAATCAATTATCATTCTATACATAGAAAATATATTGTAAATTAATAAGGCTCTCCCACTGATTTATGTCCTGTTATAAGCTTATTTAATATATATAATATAGTGAGACTAGGTAGGTAAACGGATCATCTTATAAGGTTATTAGCTGATAAAAAGCAACTCATTATTTGATAAACATGTGTCAGTTGTTGTGTTAATGTGATTTATCTGAAAGCATAAAATGATGATATTTCTTTAAGATTTAGCATATAAAACAGCAACTGTACTAGGCTTATTGTAGCTGTTGAGTAAGCATGTTGGCACAGCACCAACAAACCTTAAGGTATAAAATGATTTTTAAAAACAAAAAGTACTTTAGTTCCAATGCATTGGAATTTGGCCAAATATTGGAAAGATGAATCAACATATGTGATTAGTGGAAATAAACAATTGTTTTCTTTATTATGCATCTTTAAAAGATAATCAAATGTTATTTTTAAGATTCAGAAATATTTTTATAAGATATATTTTAAATGTTGTAATTTAGATGTTAACTAGAGGGAGTATCACATTAATATCAAGTTAGTCCTAGCATGTTCAGCAATATTAATGTATGAGAGGCTTTGTGAAATATTTAGAATAAGGATTAGGTTATAAATATGGGTGAGTTGGTCAGTATGATTGTTGTTGTTTTTTTTGCAATGTAGTGTAGTGCAGATAGCACGACTGTAAACATAGGTCTACGACAAGTTACAAAGTGTATAAGCCAATAAAGAAATGTTAAGGAGAAAATAAAACTAATTTGTTGTTGTTATGTGGACTGGATGTTGAATTATTTTCACCAGATAATTTAAATGAAATTACCAGTAAAAGAACAATGTTACAACATATGTATCAGAAGTGGGGGCTATTTTGGTGAAAATAAAATAGAACTTCAGATGTAAAGATGGGAACACAAAGTCAAGGGCTGAAAATGAAGCATTGCTTGAGATAATGAAATTATTAAGACAAGATTTATGGGGAAAAGATCAAAAAACTAAAAAAAAAGACCAGGAAGAATTGGACAGAAAATTAGAAGAAAAAAATTAAAAGAAAGTCAAGAAAACATTTTTTACGGGAAATTAAAAGAAGATTAAGAGGTAAGAGACAAGAATTTAGGAGGGGAGTTACAGAAAAGACACATACTATTTAAGGTATAATTAAAATTGAAAATAATGAAGATATGAAACTATTGGAGATGTACAGAGAGATTACAACTAGTTTGAAGAGATACAGAAATACATCAGCAAAGTAAAGAAAGGTTGTGATAAAAGAACTGATGAAACTGATGAAGCAAGAAAGACATCAGTGGAATAGAAAAGAAAATAAGTGAGAGAATAAGACAGCTGGAAAATGAGCCATTAAATACAAAGGTTAAACCAGCTACATCTTTTTCTGTATTGGCTCAGAAGTTCAAGCATCAGCTATAAAATATGGACTTAAGATAATATATTTAGGCAACACTTATTATTACTACTGCTATGCCATCTGATACTGATGGATCTTTCTGGACCCACTCTAGACATGACACTACCAAATGTTCCAGAATTTAGCTGTCCAATTCATTATTGGGCATTAGAGAAACTGACAGAAGATGATGAGAAGGTACCATTGGAGTCGTACCAGGCTCAGTTAAAAATCATTTCCAAAGTAACAAGTTGGAGTAGTGAATAAAAAAAAAGCTATCTTGCTACCCATTTGAAAGAACTAGCTTAAAAAAACATTAAGTAACCTTCAAGCTGAGAACCATAACTATCAAACATTGGTAGCCACTTATTCAGCAAGCTTGAAGAGTCGCACCAGAAAGAAGTATCCAAAGCAAAATTCTAGAACAGGGTATAGAGAAAATAACAGACCTTAGCTTAACTTGCAGAAGATTTGGAAAAGCTTGACCAATTACTTTATCCAGATGCTCCTTATGAAATGGTTGCTTTGCTTGCACATGACCAACTTACAGATGCCATAATAGGCAAGAATACTGGTATCTCCTGTTTAATGCACTTTGTATTAGTGTGTGTTCATTTTAAAATATTTTTCATACTAAGGAACTTTTTCAATTAGTACAGTAGTAGTGATAGCAATTTTTGAAATAGAAAATAGGCTCTCTGATGCAGCTATGCATGCATGAGATTCACTATATACTCAGTTTATCTTGTGGTCACCTACATTACTTTATGATCAGTATACTGATGTGCTCTTATTTTCACATTTATTTAATGTTCTATATACATCTTTAATGTTTGAGTACCTAATTAATGCTGTAAAGCATGCTTAAAAGTTTCTACGTCCAGAAAATATGTGGTAAGAAATGCATTTCCTCCCCCTCCCCTTATTACATGTATTCCTATGGGGAAATTTATTTTTGTTTAGCACACATTTTTCAGGAAAGCATTAATCATGCTAAACTGGGGATAGGGGTATGAGAATTAGGCTAAAGCAAAGTAAGCATATGCCATTAAAGGAAGCTCTGCAGTTGGTAATGGAACTACAGTTCATTAGTGTTGCAGATAAACAACTAAAGACACCATCTCAAAGTTATTGAACCATCAAATCAAACAATATTGAAGCATCAGTTCAAACTAATGACAATTTAGAAGGACTAAAAAAGATCAGTTAGACATCTATTTACATCAAATGAAAGAAATGAACAACAAATCAATAAGTGTTTCAAATGTAACATGAAAGGGTGTACTACTTAGAACTGCAGAGGAAAGCTTGTAGGAAATAAGAACTCCTCTTAAAGGATACTAAAAAGAGGGAGTTGTTTCATAATGGGGAAACCTAGCTGTTACAACCAAAAATATGAAGAATCAAAAGCTGTTGAGATACTGATGAAAATTAACTCTGAAAATGAGATTATGAGCTTAATAAGATTGAAGGAATGACAAAGTTTAACCAGATATTTGAATAAAAAAAAAGAGGAATTGGCTCAACTTTTGGGGCAAAGCTCAGCTCAGAACACCCAATTAAAAGAAGTTTATTGTTTAAAGAAACTAGTCCATGGGTTTATTTATGGTAACTTGGAAGATACCCTTACTCTACAACTCTTGATGTGTCAGTAATTGAGATTAAGGAAGAGTGTATTTTGGAAACTGATTTCATGGTGAGACACAGATAGCTTCACAGCCTATGACCAGAAAATCCCTGTGCATATAACAGTTACTACACCAGTGACAACAAGAAAAACAGTTATTATAACAAGAAGTGAAATGCTCATACTAGAACAAGTTAAAAGTAAACTCGCATCTAGTGACTGGGTTGTAATAAAACCAAACACTCCATTATGTCCTGATGTGTTGATGATTAGTAGAATTCTTGTAGATCTGAAGAATAAAAATGTCACCATTAGAGTAATGAATACAACTACCCATAATTTGAGTTAAATTTAGATAGAACATTGCAAGATGTGAAGCTATACAGGCAGTACTTCCATATCAAAGAACATCAGAATTAGTCACGAATGAGAAAAGATGTAGGAAGTCTGATGACAAACCTCTATATAATGACAGCTTACCACCTCACAAGAGCTGTGTAGGTCTTACAACTGATCAGTACTGATGGTTACATAAATTTCTCTCGGAATATCAACACCCTCTCCAGTAGACCACATGATTTAGTCCAAACAAGTAAAATATCTTACAAGATTGATACTGAAATTGAAGCCTTAATAGGTCAATTAGCCAAATGACTTCCATTTGCAAAACAGGCTAAGGATTTTGGAGATGGGAGCCATGAAGTAAAAAGAAGTGATAGAATCAAGTACTGGTCCTTGAGCATCACCTATTGCACTTGTAAAAAAAAAGTAGGATGGATCCACAAGGATCTGCATGGACTACTGGAAAATGAAGTCACAAAGAAAGATGCCAACCCACTGCCAAGGATTGACTAAGCTTTGCATGCTCTATCTGCATTGATATGGGTTTCAACATTGGATCTCAAGAGTAGATATTGGCAAATGCAAGTAGAGAGAAGGCAACCTTTACTGCAGGAAATTAGTTGTGATAGTTTGTCTTTTTACCATTTGGATTGTGTAATGCTCTTTCTACATTTCAACAATTAATGAATTGTGCTCTGCTTGAACTACCATGAAATATCATACTCATATATTTGGATGACATAATCACATATGGGAGGATCTTTGATAATGCTAATGAAGGACTAAGCAAGGTTCTGAAGCAGTTGAATCCCGAGAAGTGTGAATTATTCTATTAACAGGTGAATCTTCTGGGACACATATTCAGCAGAGAAGGAGTGTCTACATATACATCAAGGACTGACAAAGAGTCTTATGTGAGATAAGAGGATTTCTTGGACTGCGTTCTTGCAATCATTGTTTTGTGAAATCTTCCTATGAAGTAATGAGTTCTCAACAGAAGCTACTCAAAAAGTCAAGTAAGTTTTGTTGGACTGCTGATTGTGAACAAGTATTCAACAAACTGAAGAAGGAGTTGACAGTT